GGACATAATTAATATCTTTTTATAAATATGTAAGAATATTTAACATGTTGACTTTTGAAGTAATTCATAATTTTCTATGGAACGCTAATTTTGACACTTTTATTCTTTGGAAATATAAGTAATTTAGTAATTGTAATTTTATTTAATTTCAGCTTTTTACCGCTCACAAACTATCAACACTTATTGTACATCTACCAGAATAAAGATTATCACTCTTTAAGTGTTTAGTTACTTGGTTAAGCTGACTGTTATTTCCCAGGAATAGGCAGTACAATAATTAGGCAACCTTCCTTTTCATTCCTACATTCTTATCATTGACCTCCCATGGGCAATATGGATTTTGATGACCAATCCTAAAAATAGAAAGTTTTCTGAAGCAAGGAAGTCATTGGAAGTGATTTTCTTATATTATTCAAATATCTAAAAGTGTTACTCTAATTATAGAATACTTATTCAAATGTGCAAATTAAGTAGACTTAGACCTGGAAGTACTTTTTTAAGAAGATTAGGAAAATACTAAAAAAGATATGATTTAAATTTCTGATGCAGTGTACTGATTGTCCACGATCAGTGTACAGATTGTCCCAGAGAAGATGAAGTTAATTACAGATTTTCCCCGATTTTCTCTTATAGTATCATAAGGAAAAAGGTTCATTCTAAGTTTTATTTTAAACTGTAACTTGCAAGAAAATGTCAACATACAAATGCTTTAATTGATTTCTAAAAATGTCATCTTTGAAAAAATAGTAGATCACCATCAGAAGACATGTTTATCTGAGAAACTTGTCATTTGGAGAAGACTCGAAGAGTGTAGCGAAAGAGATTATAAAAGCAGACCATACCATACATTCATTCCAGAACTTCTTGACAGAGAAGGAAAAACTTTAAAATACAAGATGAAAATATTTTAATTTGTAACTAATCAACAAATACACCACAAAAGATTATAAAAAAAAATCATTACAATATCTGACCAATTCAGACAATTTATCAAATTCACTAAACTATGAATCCAGAAATATACAAACAGTAAGTAATGAACCCAAGCAAGAAGAAGCCTGTTTAAAGTTTCTGAAACAACCAATGAAATATCCATGAACAAAAAATCTCTAATTCAATTTTATATATATAAAATCATAGAATTACAGGTTTGCATGAAAATTTATTTTTTCCTTATATTCCACTATTTATTAATTATTAGCACATGCCTAAGTGTAAATTATTAGCACATGCCTAAGTGTAAAAAAGATCCACATATCAGCTTTATTTTTGAAGGAATAGCTTTTTCAAAATCGGGGACAATCTGTATAGGTATCAGGGAAAATCTGTAATCAACACAAGCTGATCGGGGACAATCTGTACACAAAAGTTCAAGTTTAATTGCTAGTTTTTTTTCCATTTAAATGCTTATTTTGTCCAAATTTCTACTTGCATTTTTCAGATTATTATATTTGAAAAAAATGTCATGAAAAAAAAATCTAATTCATACTCCCAGTTTTTCTTAAAGCAGACTAAAACAGAATTTATTTGACTCAAATCAGCTGCAAAAGCATCAAAACAAAGAAGAAGAGAGGTCATGATGTAACTTCAAGGCAATCCCACCTCAGGATATCACTTACTAATGACTACTGACCAGACAGAAGAAATCATCTTTAACCAATTGATTAGTTCAAGCTACTTAAATTAAATGACAGAGCTATAGTGTAAAATTTATCATGAAAAATCAGTACAAAATCAAGGAAAATCAGTACTATAATCGGGGGAAAATCACTTTCTGCCGTACTCGGTTACAGGTAGTGTATCTGTTGATCTGTATTGACCAGTACAGCATAATAGATTTTCTTAATTGTCTTCTCGAGTTTTGTCCCTTCTGTTGTGAGAGTATGTCTAGTTTAGCGCACTGGACAGACAAATAAAATGGTGAAAAAATGGATGAAATCGGTCAGAAATTGCGCATTTTACAAGGGAAATATTGAACTAAATTCAAAAATGACATGGTTTTAAAGGCTTGTATCTTTATATTTTATTAAAACCATGTTCCTGTTAGTTCCTGAAAATGGGAATAGCACGTTGTTGAACTTCTAAAATACACCTTCTCTTTGATATGCCTCATGAGGTTATCGAACTGCGTCGAATTTGGGAAAAAATTAATAAGAAAGTACATACTTTTCTTTATTTCATCAGTTTTTCTATATTTTTAGAAAAGAAATTGTCTTTTTAAATCATTTTTATATTTTTATGAATAAGTTAGTTACTAAATCATAGATGTATATGTATTTTATACATCGTATGGCTAAATTATAATAATTTCATTCATGATGTTTATTAAATTAGTTTAAGTAAAGAGTTTTAGTGTATTACCAAAAAATTCCATGTACAGCATGGTAAATAAATATTATGGAGCATATATTCAACTTTTTCCATGTTTTTCTATTAATTATATTTTCAATAGACTTGTTTATAATAGTTAACATACATTGTTTAAATAAAGTTAAATTGTGATAAAAGATATAAAATCTAAAAATGTAAATATGTTAATATGATGAAAACATTAGTCCTGGCAAAAAAAAAAGATATCCGCATTTATTAATTTCTTTTCGAGAATAATTTGTAATATTGTTTTACCTACAAGAACATTATTTTTTCATAACCAAGTCATTCTAAAATATATATTTTGATTTTATTTCTTTCTGATTTTCAGCATGTTTAACTGCTAAGTAGCTTTTGATTGTCAGTTTTCTATTGTCTAGATTGTCAATCGGCATCTCAATGACCAACTGGTTCATGTCATTATCAGATAAGTGTGAAAGCCATTACAACGCACATAGAACCTTTGAAGTCAGTGGTGAGCTTCATCTATGGGTTTATACATCTATGATATAACAAAACAATTTACAAAAAATCAAATATGAGTCAACAGACATGAACCGACGCCAATCACTGAACTACAGGCTCCTGACTTGTAACAGGCACATACAGATTATGGCAGGATTAAACATGTTTGTGAGCGCTCAACCCTCCCCTAAACTGGGACAGTGGTGTAAAAGTAGTCAATATTAGATCAAACTGTAAAATTCAGTTGCAATTAGATTAACTCAAAAGATCGGTACGAGACACACAAAAACAACTACTAGTAACATTAAGACAATAGACACAAAGCACCGAAGTAAGTGTATATGCAGTTACTGGAAGTTTGTTCAAAGCCAATAACAACTAACACTGAAATAAATCTTGTTTTCCCAGACTAAAGTATCAATTAGTACACAACCAACGGATTTAGCCATAAACAGTGTGAGAAACGCCATGACTTTGTATACCTTGTATATATGCATATACAATTAAAGTTTTCGAAAAGTGGTGGTCATAAGGTTTTGACCATCGACAATTTGCAATAGAAATAATAGTTAGGTCCAGCAGATTTTCCTCGAGGACCACCAGGAAAAATATATTTTGAAAACTCTGCGATATCTGCTTTATACAAAAATAATCCAGTTTGGTTACTTTCAAAATGTTTGACAGACAAGATGTTCGTTTTGATCATATACCAGACAAACATTGACAATTAAATTCTTGTACAGTTTAAGATTATTCCTGAAAATCAAATGGTCGGATTTGTTTAGCAAAATTGAGTTAGGAGAGCATAAAGAAAAAAATGTCACGAAACCAGCGATTGTTCCAACCAATTGTCTTTGTTTTTACACTTATAGTATAATTAAATCAATGCCATAACAGAGAACACTATTACAATCATGTCTACCGAATCGGAACTGACGTATCTTAATTTTCGAATAAATCATCGTAAACTTCATTTATGTCGTCCAACATTTAAAAAAAATCTGCAATATTCGACGGCAAATTGCTCTTTTGTTTTATTGCTTCTTCTACAGAATATCTCCAGAAGATAGGGGTCCAGATTCATTTTTTGGGACACTTCACCAGAAGGCATTCTGGAGATGTACAGAAGAGACCGATAAAACACGCCCCTGTGTAGTGTATGTTTCAGAAAATTAAAAACTTACCTGGATTTTGATGAGCATTTTTTTTATTCAGTCTACAGAAGATAGCAAAATAAACAAACACAGTAGTTTCATTTGGGTTACACAGTTTAAATCACCCATTGTTTGCAGATGTCTATTGTCCATCTATTTTCATTTAAATCAATACTACTCACAACATTTATTATATGAGGGGAGCTTCTCAAACCTCTTTCCCAACTTAGTTTATTTTGGCACCTTCTGCAGGAATGAAAAAAAATGAATAGCAAAGTCTGAAAAGTTTATAAATTTCTGAAACATAAGTGTTCCTGCCATGCCTTAAAACTTTTCCAGGTGCACAGGTTTGTGGTGTAAATACGGCCATATTAGCCAAAAGGTTATGATGAACCTTAAATTTGGTATCAAGCTTCATGTGAACATGCTTATACCGTGTGATGTGTTCATCACTTATTTCCTGTTCACCGAATACTTATACCGTGTGATGTGTTCATCACTTATTTCCTGTTCACCGAATACTTATACCGTGTGATGTGTTCATCACTTATTTCCTGTTCACCGAATACTTATACCGTGTGATGTGTTCGTCACTTATTTCCTGTTCACCGAATACTTATACCGTGTGATGTGTTTATCACTTATTTCCTGTTCACCGAATACTTATACCGTGTGATGTGTTCATCACTTATTTCCTGTTCACCGAGTACTTATACTGTGTGATGTGTTCGTCACTTATTTCCTGTTCATCGAATACTTATACCGTGTGATGTGTTCATCACTTATTTCCTGTTCACCGAATGATTATAGCGGGGTTAATATTAGTGTGCAATGGCTCACAGTTCCATTTGTTGCTCCTAAGATAACCTGTTGTCAACATTCAATAAGTTGACACTGCCAAAATGAAACAATGTTTTACTTCTGACCTCATGGAAAACGCATTATTTTTTCCCTTGCCTTTGTTTAACTGACGCATCGACCTTATTGCTAAATAATGATAGAAATTAGATGTCTACAACACCAGGTTGAGTGTATTAATTAATGCTGTATTGTAACAACTATACACTGAATTTACAAATGGATAAAATGGAGATTACTGGCAAAAAATATTACAATGAAACATATCAGTGAAATATGTTACTAGTTTTACAAGGTTACTAACTAGAGTATCAAACTAATTCATTTTGGTTGATAATACAAGTTAATACTATAATACTTCTATGTGGAGTTTGCTGGTCCAATAGCATAACTTTGTGGCATAGCTGATAAGATATGGAATAAAGCTGACCAGTCCGTGATATTTATGGTCATGTAATGCTACTTTGTACGTGAATAAATTATTTCTGTCATTGCCGATGTGAGTAAAGTCAAAGTCTTCCGAACATGTTAGATTTAGGCGATAATGTAATCTGTCTATCTCGTCTTTTAATACTTGCTGTCTTAACCGTCTGACACTTTTGCAGAATTCACAAACTCTGGCATATAAAGAGTCATTTTCTAATTTTAACATGTACCACTCGTCCCAAAACATCAGAAATTCTTCCATTTTTGATGAGCTACCATCTCGAGGTGTTCCGTTTCTTGGAAATTTGTTGGCTATGTTGATAACTTTTCTGTAATGACTGATTGTATTAACTTCTCTTGGTAATAGTTGGGCAGCCAGTAAATGAATCAATTTTAATGATTCAAGAAATGAATTTTGTCTCCTTGAAAACCAGTCCATGTATCGCATCTTTAGACCGTTTAATCTTCCCAAATGTCTATTAGCATCTCGTTTGAGGACATCAAGCTCCATTTCCTTCAGATCCAGAGGACTGAATACCTTGTTGCTGTATTAAAGATAAATAATTGAAATAGGATGTATGGATGTTTATTCATGAACATTAAATTTCATGTTATGAAAATGCAGTCAGGTTTCACCTATATGTGATCATTAAATAGATGAGGGATTTTAAATAATACTCGTATATACGCAATTAATAATTACTTTTGTATGGAAGGTCATTTGTAAAATATATGTGATCTAGTTTCGTTCAGATTAAAAACATGACTGTCACCGCTGTACGTGTATCATCGAAGCGGCGAGGACAACAAAAACACGTTAAGATTTTCTTTCATTTAAAGCGTTTCTATCGATTTGATGAGGTTAACACTATGATTGTCTTATGTATGCGGCTTTATTTTTGTTATACCAACAAGTACAAATTAAAGACAATATGTTGTTTTATTATCTAAAATTGTGCACCTAGAAACTGAAAATTCCGAGGTCAATCGTCTTCGGTCGGTTCTAAATATATGTATTTACATATGTATGTGTATATATACATATAAAGTGCCTTGAAAATCAACACAACAATGTTATAGTATATCTGATTCTTTACTTCCTCCCCGAAGGAAGCAAGAACCTGTACTTTTCACTTCTACGGCAACACCGCCTAACATTGCGCAGACGCCTTTTTTTTATTCCCTCAGTTTCCGTTTCTGGAGGTGTTTCCTTCTTGTAGGTATTAAACAAGGACGACTAATCACAATAGGCCTACACGAAGTATTTTAAAGTGCACAGGAATGATCATCTTCTCATCTCTTCAGTATAATTGCAGGATGCTATTTTATTTTTAGAAGCATACAATCACTATGAATTTATAATATATGTCTGCCTATGTGTAGTGACATAATATACATCTTAAAGTAACATTTTTTTTCATTGGTCTTAGGATGTATCCAATGATTTAAGTGCTATTGGAAATATAGGCCTTTAAAATCCGTTTCCTAGCAAGTTATCTAACAAACATATTGGCAGTTTTAACAAAGCCATTGTTGGGTAAACTATAAAAAACATTGTTAGACTTTGATCTTTATTGTAAGTGTCTTTAACTTGCGGTGTGTGACACTTTTGCTCTCTGTTGAAGGGTTTTAGCGGTGACTTTAAGATGAAGAACTACAATAAAATGACAATTATGTATAGGCGTTTATGGGATTTTGTGTCGTGAATCATTACACCAATACTGAACTAATATCCTTTTGAAGCTATGAACCCTGTCTAAACTAAACAGCAAAAAAGTTTGGCGTAAATAAATTGCTTATATGTAATGTAAATTAAATATTTGGGTTTTTATTGGATATGGCAGCTCATCGAATTTTTGTGCCATATTTAAACTTTCCAAGATGGTTCGTCTTTCAGGGAAGGTGGCAGTACAATATACCCCTTCTCTAACTTTACTGTCTAAGATATACCAGTTAACACTTACTGATAATCTCTGTATGTCAGCTCCATAGTTTCCATTGTTTACATTGCCATGGTTACTGGTTTATGTTCATCTGCAGAAAAAATGTGAGCATTCTTTGATATAGTATTTCTTTGTATTTTTCTACTTGTAGTCGTTCTTCATACAGATGTAGTAGAGTTCTTCTTTGTGGTACCTTTAGTTTTATTTTGTAATTGCAGATGAAAAGAAGGGGGTTTGAGTGTTCATGTAAGTCAGAAACAACATCATTAGTTTTATCTTTATGTTTTTATCTTTAAGGGAATACGATGTTGTAAGCGGATCTTTGATAGATGTACTCGTACTTTTCGTGACTTGGAGCCTGACATATTGATACATGTTAATTGTTGGAGATTGGTGTTGATCTTAAGATATCTTTAGGTTTCAGTGTCTTCGGGTCGCACTGTTGTATTGAGATATAAACCAACATATCCTTTTTGGACGGGTTGCACGAAATGCAAAACCGGCTTGTGGGGAGGGTCGAGCACTCACAAACATGTTTGGCCGTTGTTTATCGTTTGAATATTTTCACAATTTGTCATGTAGGGCCTTTTATATCTGAATATTGGTATGGGTTTTGCTCATTGATGAAGACCGCATGTTAACCTATAGTTGTTTTAATCCGTTTCATCTGGACTGTTGGATAGTTGTCTCATTTGCAATCATACCACATCTCCTTATTTTATATTATCACATGATTGTGTCGTGCGGTCGGGGAAAAGTGTGTAATTATTTTGGGTAATCTACTCCTCCTACACTTTTCAAACCTGATCCTTGAAACTTCACAGAAAGATTGCAAGCATATTTAAGTTGTGCTCTTGAAATGGAGCTTAGAAATTTTCCCCAACTTTTTTCACAGAAATCGGAACATAGACTGTTTATGACGTCTTCACGCTTATGATTTGGATGTGGAATTGTTTAAGAAATTTCCACCCTATTATTCCAGACTTGAACACTGTTCAGCAAAATTAAAAAATAAAAAGGTATCTATTTTGTGTAATCAACTCTTCCAATACAGTTTTCGACCAAAACCCTTTAAACTTAATAGAAAGATTGCTCACATATTGAAGTTGTGCATCTGGTATATTACGGAATTTTCGAGGAACATTTCCCAATTTTTCAGCCTTTGGAACTTAGACAGTTTATGACGTCTTGACGTCTTTACACTTTATATCCGTTGCATGTGTGCTGACTGATATGCGTGTCTTAGAGACATGATAGATATTTTAGCTGACGTTTGCTTTGAAATCAAACTGTTGTTTTTTTTTCGTTTGAATTGTTTTACATTTTGTCATTTCGGGGACCTTATAGCTTCTCATGCGGTATGGGGTTTGCTCATTGTTTCAGGCAGTAATTATGATGACTTATAGTTGCTTACATTTACGTCATTTGGTGTCAATCATACCATATCTTCTTATTTTTATGTTGAACTATCTTTTAGTTACTGCGAGTACTTTTAGGTCGGTACTGTGTGTTTCAGTACTTAGTGTTTCTTTTCTTTTTTGTTAATTGTTTCTTGTGCTTCGTATCGATCTGATGAGTCAAGCTCTTTCCAACTAAATTCTTACAATTTGTTTTTATTTTGTGTTGATACACTACTGTAACTGGATAGGGGGGGTGGTTGGACACTCACAGACATGTTTAACCCCGCTACATTCATTATTTACCTGACCCAACTCAGGAATATTTGCCTGACCCAAGTCAGAAGCCTGTAATTCAGGTTGATTCACATTTTGTCATAGCCTAATACGGGTTGCTATACGGTATGCTCATAGTTGACAGCCGTTCGGTGACCCGTAGTTGTTTACATCCTAGCTCGTCCTCTGGTCACGGATGGATAGTCATACACATTTTCTTATTGTAACATTAGTCACTTTTCAATCCTGAAATATCATGAGCTCCTGCGTGGGATTCACCCCCACTGCCCTGGACCTGCTTGGGACCTAGGCTGTCCACCACAGACCGCATATCCCCCCCCCCCCCCCCGAACACAATATCATGGGTCCGCTTCTGATTAGTCTTTACAATGCCGACAAAGAGCAACTCCCCAGTGATCTGTCCGCCAGGCATATGATATGTTATAGAATATAATTAAAAAACACATGTATATCAGTTGGGGATCCAGGATTTTCAAAAAGGAGATCCCATCAAGACAACGTGGGGAGTGAGTTTTGTAAAAATTCTATACATTAACAATATATGTAGCTCCATAAGGGGCCGCCCCCTTAAATCCACCTCTATATATTAATCATATACAGCTGAGAGGTCGTTACCCCCCCCCCCCCCTAAAAAAACAAAACAAGACACAGAATCAACAATTTTCAAACTATTATCAATAACTAACTTTCCCAGAAATTGACAATCCACTCTCGTCTGTTCTATCTGCATTGTTTAATCATTTTACTCTGAAATAAGAACATATCTTTAGATACTCAAATATATAAAGCAAAGGACTACGTCGAGGGTAGCATTATAGGACCGCAGCATGCCTACATGTTATAGTTGTACAATTGTTACTTAAAAAAATTATAAAGCACGTTTGTCGTATAAAGAAATGTGCAGGTCATTATTGTGGACTACCACTACCAGTATAAATATACAATATATGTACATTGTCGGAAAATATCAAATTTATTTGTATGAGCTTTGGAAATAGGACGCCGAGCTTTTCTCCTGTTTCGCAGCGAGTACAAATAAATTTTATATTTTCCGACAATGTACATATATTGTTTTTATCCTGAAATTTACACCCAACACTTGAAACTTTAGTTATTAAAATCTAAATCATTGTCTCTAATTTTTCAAAGAAATCGACATAGTTTAAACGCGGACCGCGAAGAGGACCCCAAAATGAACTGGTACGCAAAAAGAAATATCCACATTACCGCTTGCTCAACATGGAAGAGGAGTAACAGGAGACTTTATTAGTACAAATAAAGCAAAAATTTATTTGTGTACTTGTTATTTGTACAATAGTTGGCTGATTGCAGGATAAAGCTGAATATATAATGAATGTCATGATAAATAAATACTATACATTGAAAACACTGTTTCAGTCCATTTTTAACGTGGCCTTGTCGGAGTCTGTGCCGGATTCTGTAAGAACAAGTCAACCGTGAAACCAGCCGGTTATCATGACCCCCTTCCTATAAAAAAATCTTCAGACGGAAAGGGACTAAGACCACGAGACATGTAAGAAAAAATTATACTGGATGAAAAATACAAAATGATATTATCAAGTTTGTCTTTATTTGGAAAAATAAACATTAACATAAGTTTAATGAATGACACAACAATATTTTTTGTTAGTGCGTTTTGTGAATTCTAAAGAATTTATAAATAAATAAGCGATTTAAAAGAAAAATAAGTTATACGAATCACTGTATCGTATATTGGTGATATATCTCCTTCGCTCACATAACCAGATTTATAGTTAAAGACTTGAATAAAATTGCAAATCTTTACACGTTTATCTAAAAGCTTAATAATCTGTAGTCAAAACAAACACATTCACTTTGAATAAACTTAAGTGGTCAAATAGTGAGAGATTTGTTCATGTAACGATGTAGATATTATTCCTTTTTTAAGGGTACCGATTGTGTCCATATACGGGTTTATTAATATTTTGATATTCATCTACTTGAGAAAGTTAACTTGTCAAAATTTGAAGAGAAGGTAAATACATTTCATAATTATGGTGAAACTTTACAGATTACGAGTTACAATTTATTATTCTGTATAGAAACATTGAAATATATTTTACGCAATGTAATTTTTCAGTCTTATTACGCTGTTGTCATTCCAATTTAATCCAAACCAGAGACATATATACACACATATATATAACTCTCAAATATATGTGTATATATGTCTCTGTCCAAACGAAGCAGTGGTTAAATGAAGTCAAATATGACTGATCTGCTTATTCTGAATGTAAAAAGTCAATTTGATCATTTAAAGGCCGGATTCGTCTTCCTCACAAAACCTACACTATCATCGGGTAAAGTTGTAGAATGTATTTCTCTAATGATTTAATGAAAATAATACTTTAATAATTTCGTTCGTCCGAAACGTTTTGCTGCATTTACCTTCATCAAGAACGCCTCAAATCCAAACATTTGAAAGCCCCGGATGTATAAGACCGAAACACGAAAGAGCTATATGACAAAAAGGGAAAACAGATTCATCTAAGGTTAACTTTGCCTGAGGTTGTTGGAATCCTGAAAATAGATTCATCTAAGGTTAACTTTGCCTGTGGGAGTTGGAACCTTAAAAATAGATTTATCTAAGGTTAACTTTCAATTGCCTGGGGGAGTTGGAACCTTGAAAATAGATTCATCTAAGGTCAACTTTGCCTGAGGGAGTTGGAACCTTGAAAATAGATTCATCTAAGGTCAACTTTGCCTGAGGGAGTTGGAACCTTGAAAATAGATTCATCTAAGATTAACTTTGCCTAGAGGAGTTGGAACCTTGAAAATAGATTCATCTAAGGTCAACTTTGCCTGAGGGAGTTGAAACCTTGAAAACAGATTCATCTAAGGTTAACTTTGCCTGACGGAGTTGGAACCTTGAAAACAGATTCATCTAAGGTTAACTTTGCCTGAGGGAGTTGAAACCTTAAAAATAGATTCATCTAAGGTTAACTTTGCCTGAGGGAGTTGGAACCTTGAAAATAGATTCATCTAAGGTTAACTTTGCCTGAGGAAGTTGGAACCTTGAAAATAGATTCATCTAAGATTAACTTTGCCTGAGGGAGTTGGAACCCTGAAAATAGATTTATCTAAGATTAACTTTGCCTAGGGGAGTTGGAACCCTGAAAATAGATTCATCTAAGGTTAACTTTGCCTGAGGGAGTTGGAACCCTGAAAATAGATTCATCTAAGGTTAACTTTGCCTCGGGGAGTTGGAACCTTAGTTTCTAAATAATTTCTTAGTTTATCAAGGGAGAATTTAAGAAAGATTTGTTATAAATCATGCACTGACTACTGAGTTGATGATACCCTCGAGGACTAAAAGTCCAGCAACACTTTATTAATTTCGTGCGTTAGGGTTAGGGTTAGGGTTATGATGTATCACAAAAATAATTGAACTATTATTACGATGTGAACGATTCATGCTCTTTATAGTCTCAAATATAAAATGATGTGGCGTTTGTCCGGCACTATATACATCTTACTTCTATATTTAGTAATACTTTATCTTACTTCTTTATGTAGTAATAATGTATCTTACTTCTATATGTAGTAATAATGTATCTTACTTTTATATGTAGTAATTATGTATCTTGCGTCTGTATGTAGTAATAATATATCTTACTTCTATATATAGTAACACTATATAAAAGATGACATATAATTGTGTTATGTTGTAATACTATATATGACTTTTATATTTGGTAATAATGTATCTTACTTCTATATGTTGTAATACTATATATCTTAATTCTATATGTAGTAATAATGTATCTTACTTCTGTATGTAGTAATAATGTATCTTACTTCTGTATGAAGTAATTTATATCTTACTTCTGTATGTAGTAATACTATATCTTACTTCTATATGTAGTAATTATGTATCTTACTTCTATATGTAGGAATACTATATCTTACTTCTATAGGTAGTAATAATATATCTTACTTCTATATGTAGTAATAATGTATCTTACTTCTGCACGTAGTAATAATGTATCTTACTTCTGCACGTAGTAATAATGTATATTACTTCTATATGTAGTAATACTATATCTTACTTCTGTATGTAGTAATACTGTATCTTACTTCTGTATGTAGTAATATGTATCTTACTTCTATATGTTGTAATACTATATCTTACTTCTATATGTAGTAATACTATATCTTACTTCTATATGTAGTAATAATGTATCTTACTTCTGCTTGTAGTAATACTGTATCTAACTTCTATATGTAGTAATAATGTATCTTACATCTGTATGTAGTAATACTATATCTTACTTCTGTATGAAGTAATACTATATCTTACTTGTGCATGTAGTAATACTATATCTTACTTGTGTATGTAGTTATACTGTATCTTACTTCTGTATGTAGTAATACTATATCTTACTTCTGTATGTAGTAATACTGTATCTTACTTCTATTTGTAGTAATACTATATCTTACTTCTGTATGTAGTAATACTGTATCTTACTTCTGCATGTAGTAATACTGTATCTTACTTCTGTATGTAGTAAGAATATATCTTACTTCTGTATGTAGTAATACTTTATCTTACTTATGTATGTAGTAATACTGTATCTTACTTCTGTATGTAGTAATAATGAATCTTACTTCTATATGTAGTAATAATGTATCTTACTTCTATATGTAGTAATAATGTATCTTACTTCTATATGAAGTAATAATGTATCTTACTTATGTACGTAGATATAATATATTTTGCTTCTGTATGTAGTAATAATATATCTTACTTCTATTATGTTGTAAAATTATATCTTACTTCTGTATGTAGTAATAATATATATTACTCCTATATGTAGTAAGAATATATATTACTTTTATATGTACTATTATGTACACCTTAATCGCTCCATTCAACGGTAAAATTATCCCTAAAAATCCACATGAGACAGAAATGTAACGTACAACTTTTTGTGTAGTTGAACGAGTAACATTTAATTCTTTGAATTTGAGAATATGAGATTAAAATTTTACCTTTCATTAATACATAATAAAAGTAGCTTTTAAAAGTATTCATATTTTAACGTGCAAATAAAGTAGGTAGATTTTAAAGCCTTCGTTACACGTATAAAAGTCAACCTTCTTAAAAGATTACATACAAAATTTCAAATGAAATCAATTTTTAATTTACATAAATCCTTCTAAAACATTCCAGATGAAATAAATGTCCGTAGATGTGATAACAAGTAATCGATGCTAACTTTATATTAGAAATAACACCTTTACAAAAAGCTCACGCGGACTCGTCTTCCTACATACTGTGTTACAAAATTTATCCAACATTCTAAATGAACTGAAAAGATGGCATATAATTGTACATTGCAAATAAAGACATTTTTTGCATACAACTTATTTCAGCCGTTTAATAGGTTCGCCTAACATGAATGTATTTTATTTTATATCTTTCACTAAAAACTTAAATTACGAGTAAAATATAACCCTTCGTTGTCCACGATTTGTTAATTCATTTAATATGTTTATTTCACGAACAGTTTTGTAATTAAGTACACTACACGTCTAGTTTAAAACTTCTCCTTTTCTGTAGAATATAACGATTAAAAACAAGCGAGACACTTACCCTCTTCAATTATTTATCCATCGTCTCACGTTTTTCTTTTACTGGTTGTTCTGGTTGCCAGTGGTAGAGCGCCCTCGTGTGTCACAGTGAACAGTAACTAAGCCGTCACTCGCATTTATTCCCTATATCGATGTAGTGGTATATCTTTTATTTACAATCCACTCAAAAGGAAAATATGCTCCACAAACATAATATGAAAAACAATCTTATTACAAATTTACTAGGTTTATTTACAATTATTCCACCCTTTTCACAAAAAAGATCCGGTATGGAGTTTAATATCCATTCAGAAGATTTACTTATATCAATAAAATTACAGAACGTAGATCATGTCTACCAAACAAGTTTAAATAAATCAATTTTGTTTGTATTGTATACCCATACAACAAACATGTTTGCAAGGTTAAAAATAAATGGAAATTTATGTTATAAATTGATGTCTAATATTTTTTTATTGTGAAGGTTGATTTAAGTAATTTAAGCTTTATGCTGTAGGTTTAAATTTTCACTTTACCGAGTAACTATCGAGCTGTAGTAATACTAATATAAAATCTATGAATTGTTTATTGACTCCAGATTCAAACTTTATTTAAGTACAATATAACAGAAGTTATGGACTCCTGTCAAAGTTTTAGCATTAGCGCTTTCGATTGAATAGTAGGCCCATCTCTTAACTCTGAGGGTCCCATGAAAATTTTGTACGATTTGTTTGAATGAATTTCTGACCTACAGGTGGTAAAATGCAATCACCTGGATCTATTTTATTGGAGAATTCTCGTTACAAAAATCTGCACAACTAGATATATTGCTTCTTTAGGTAGTTTGTGGGAATAATAAAAAAAAAAAAAAACACACAGAATTATTTAATACTTTGGAAAAATGTAGTTTATATCGTTCATTTTCAAAAATGTATAAAAATTAGGGGTCGCCGAGCTTGTTTTTATAAATGATCTACAAAGAAAAGGCAGAATGTGAATAGAATTAAGAAAAAGTACATGAAAGAAATTTGAAATGATGAATTATGAGTAGATAGCTCTAATACAATTATTTTTAGATAATCTCACAAAAATTGTACTTTTGTTCTTGCTATAATACACCTTATCGCTATTTATTCCTATCCGGATAAGTTCTAAAATTACACAACTTTTTTGTAATCAAGATATATTCTGTATTTGTAAAAACAGTCGTAATAAAATAATTGTTTTCAATTAAAAGTAAATTCTTACATTTGAATTGTATTTGTGCCTCAAAATTGGCTTATTTCATTAAAATCTAGACCGTTCGTTTTCTACTATCTTACTGTCGATAAGGCAAATTATCCCTATATACTACATAAATAACAGACCTTGCAATGGATTGGGAAAAAAAACCTACCATCCGTCCAACTATGAACACCAAGGTTAAAAATTCTGAAGCGTTATAATGAGGCCAATGTCACGTGACACCTATGATACTTATTACGACACCTGTGTGTGTGGCTTCCCAAACAACAATGATAAAAATAAAGAGATGTGGTATGATTGCCAATGAGAAAAACCCATACCATATAGTCGGCCGCAGTATAAAAGGTCCCGACATGAAAATTATGAAACAATTCAATTGAGAAAACTAACGGCCTTATTTATAACAAAACAATTTACGAAAAACGTAAAGTATGATAAACGTGAACTAACGGCAACCACTGAACCACAGGCTCCTGACTTGGGACAGGCACATAAAGAATGTGTCGGGGTTAAACATGTTTGTGAGCGCTCAACCCTTCCCTAAACTGGGACACAGTGGTGTTACAGAACAACATAAGGAAAAACTATAAAAATCAGCTGAAAATGGCTTAACTCATCAGATCTATACAAAGCAGAAAAACATCGAACAAAAACATAGACACGAATGAATTAAACCGTATATGATTGTGTCCTGATGCTAGCAAGCATTGTATAGTTTTCATTATTACTTTGGATATTTTGGTAAATAGTTAGGAAAAGAAAACAATTTCCGACGGTCCTTCCCCATTCGGCAAAACCCAACAACATATGCAAACAACAACGCACAACAAATGTAAATAGATTGGTCCAAAACCCCCAAAACGATTTTTTTTTAAATTCACCAAAACTTATTGAATAAAAAATAGAGCATCTCTATAACTAGCAAAATTGAGATCGTGACAAGCGGAATATAAAGCATCTGAACCTGACCAAAATTATTCACTTACTTTTTTCACCATTAGTTATTGCTACAAGTGCTTTATCGGTTGGCAATATAAATTTTGAAAGTACTCACGAAAATCAAATTAACATTCCGCGATTTCGATTTCTCGGAAGTATTCTATCGTATTTATTTCCACATACATGTACCAAATACCCTGGCATGTATTAAACTACTGAAAACAAATCAAATCTCGAAAACTGGAATTCAAAACATGTGTAATCATTGTCATCAGTAGATAAGTGTTTAAAGATATTTGTGCCTTTTTACCTGGAATATTCAGTTAAGGCGAATTTTTTTTAAATAACTCACTATGTGACAAATGTAACGAAACACACAATATTGTAATTGTAAGACTATATCAAATTTTTATTAGACATAGAAGTCAGAGGGTTTCCGAGCACTTGGACATTAGAGTGAATACAGACATAATGAAATTTTCTGACATTGACATAATATTGTTTTATATTGTATCTCATTAATAGCCATTAAAATGCTTACACAAAAATACAACTTATCTTACGTCCCTAAATGAGTCCAAATTGTGAAGGAAAGTGTGGACATTTTACAAATTGATGGCAGTTTCTTGTTACTATAAAAAAAGCAGCAACAGCAGAAAGTGTTCCATCTGCAGTATTATACCATTTAAATGTTTAAATTTTGCATAACTTTGATAAATACATAGGCATCTGAACACGCACAGGACTCGATCATTATAATATCGGGCGAAAACATCTACTGGACCCAGACATAACTTATATAGTATAGTATGTATGTCCTGTCTTCAAAGTTATTAAAAAAATATATATTAGTTATGTTCATGAATACAAAAAAAAAAACGAAATAAAATATATGTATCGTTACAACAATTCACAAATTCAGTTAGTTGTCTTTGTTAACTTACCAGCGATATGTTTTCCGGTTTGGGTTTGTTTTTTGTTTTTTGTTTCAGTTTGTTATATATTATGTTCATTATATACTTTTTGTGATTTCATGACAATAACGTATTTGATTAAACTTTTGCTTTTTTAACTGCAAATATTTGTTAATAAATAAAAAGTAACCGCCTTGGTGATACATGTAGATGTTGCTAAACCAAACAAGAGAAATGCCACTATTTGACCATGTTGACTTTCTCTTGCAGATCTTATTTTGCTGATCTTTTTCGCTTTTTCAAAGTGGTCGGGACCATCAGTTTTACCCTTATCCGTCATTCCGTCATTCCGCAACGAACATTTATACGGACTTTTTTTTCTAAACGCCTTCACCTATTGAGCTGTGTTTAGTATGTGAGTCTACTATGATGTGTTACGGATCGAGTTTATGTTTGGTTCTTATCCATTGATTTTTGCCGAAATTACGGGCAATGTACTTTGAAAATTTTGTGAAAAAAAACAGTATTCGGACTTTCATTCTAAACGCTTTCACATATTGAGCTGATTTTTAGTATGCGAGTCTTCTATGGTGAGTTACAGATCGAGGATACGTTTGGTCCCGCTCTATTGATTCTTGTCGAAATTACGGGCTTTGGACTATTTTTAACAAGAATGCAAAAACGGAAAAAAATCATCATTCAGGGTAAATAACTTATATAAGGAGTTAGTTGACACTTTTAGACAAGATGACTGATTTGTAGATTTAATTGTGCTGAAAACTATATACTGTTGCTCTCTATCTATCTTTGATTTAGCAAAAAAAAAAAACATAAAATGGGTCAACAACTCTTTAAAAGGATTCAGTTGACAATTTCGGTCATGTTGACTTATTTTTAGATCTGATTGTGCTTAACATCTTTGCTTATTTCAATTTCTCTATAACAATTTCTGTGAAAAAAATGAAAAAAAATGGACAAAAATCTTTCAAGGGCAATCAATTGTGCTGAAATTTTTGCTATAAACTGTTGCTCTCCATCTTTCTTTTTAGCAAAAAAAATCCATAAAATGGGTCAATAACTCTTCAGTTGACAATTTTGGTCATGTTGACTTATTTGTTAATCTGATTGTACTTAACGTCTTTTTTAATTTCTATTGCTCTATAATTGTTTCTAAAAAAAAGTGGATAAAAATCTGTCAATGGCAATAACTCCTATAAGCGGTCAATTGACAATTTGACAAAGATGACTGATTTGTATATCTTATTTTGCCATCATCTTTGCTACTTACAATTCCTCTCTATTACAGTTCCTGTAAAAACGCAAAAAAGGGTAAATTAATCTTTCAGGGACAATAACTCCTATAAGGGTCAATTGACGATTTGGTCATTTGCATTTTTACCATTGTAAGATTCTCTCTACCAATTATAACCTCATAAAAAATGCAAACAGGGTAAAAATCTTCATTAATTTTATAGGCAATAACTCCTACAAGGGTCATTGATAATTTCTGCCAAGTTGACTTAATTGTAGATCATATTGTTCTGGCCATTTTTTACTGTTTAACATTTCTCTTTTTAGTTTTCAAGATAACCAATAAAATGCTTCGCTGAGCGTAGCCAGATACGACCGCAGAGGTCTAACCCTGAACAGTTGGGGCAAGTTTGGACACAATATTCAAGCTTGATACTGTCTGAATTTGGATTGTGATAAAAATTTTGACATAATATAGGTTTCTGACACAAAATGAATGTGGTCAAAGATCTTAATAAACAGCTGCGCCATGAGCTCATGATACGCCCGTCGTCTTGTGTGTGAATTTTTATGCAATAATCATAAATAGTTTCTGACATACGGCGCGACATGCGAAAATCCCCCTTTTTTTTACAAAAAACTCAATATCTCTAAAATAAATTTTGAATCAAAACCAAAAAGTATACAGATCTTTAGATTAAATAACTAAGAAGTGTGTAAAATTTAAAGCAATAATCATAAATCGTTTTTGAGATACGGCGCGACATGTGAAAACCCCCCTTTTAAAAAAATAAAAATCAATATCTCTAAAATAAAATTTTGAATCAAAACAAAAAAGTATACAGATCTTTAGATTAATATAACTAAGAAGTGTAAAATTTTAAGCAATAATCATAAATCGTTTTTGAGTTACGGCGCGACATGTGAAAAACCCCTCCCCTTTTTTTACAAAATACTCAATAACTCATAAATAAAATTTTGAATCATCACCAAAAAGTATACAGATCTTTTGATTAATATAACTAAGAAGTGTGTA